TAGCATAAGAAAATCCTTATGGTGCAGGTATGAAAAAGCAGAATACAAAATTATTCATTCCCACAGTAAAGTCTCAATTGTGTGATCTGAAGAGAAACCAGAATATTCAATTGTGCAAACAATCAAATTAAACCCAGAGAAAAGATTGGACCAAAGGGTTTACAGTAACTGCAGTCCTAATACTAGTGATTTTTATTATTGTATGGTTTTTCCTACTATAGGACATAATTTTCTAAAATAATTAACAATACTGACATTAATGAGAATAGCAGTAATTTTTTTTTTGGTCTTTTTTTTTTTTTTTTTTTTTTTTGCGGAACAGGGGATTGAACTCAGGTCCTTGTGCTTCCCAGGGAAGTGCTTATTCTACTGAGCCATCTACTGGCCCCAGTTTTGGTCTTTTTGAGACAGGGTCTTGCTATGCAGTTCAGGCTGGTCTTGAGCTCACTTTGTAGCCCAGGCTAGTCTTGAACTCACAACAATCCTCCTGCCTTAGCCTTCCAAGTGCTGGGATTACAGATGTGCGTCACCATACCCCACTAGCAGAAATTATTTATGGTGCACTTACTGCACGCCAGGCCCAGGTCTAAGAGATTACTGTATTAACTCATCTAATCCTCATGACATTGAGACTAAAAAAAAAAAAAACAACAACAACCCAAAAAACAAAAAACAAGGCACTGTGAGATTAAGTCCCCTGCCCAAGGTTATTATTATGCAGGATGCCAAAATTTGAGGCTAAGTAATCTGGCTCCAGAGCTTGTGTGTGTCACCGCTATACTACACTAAAAAGTTTTGCTTTGTCAAAAATTGTAGCATTAAAAAGGCATGTAACAATTCAAACCTTGGGGTCTTTACAGTTATCTGCTTTTTTTTGGTCCTGAGTTCAAAGCTATGTGCTTTTTGGAATAAGAAGTAGCCACCATTCCTGAAAATTTTATATATCCCAGAAAATTCCATGACAAATGTGTAGGTTTAGTTCCTCAGTATCTCCTAAGACCATTAAGACTCTTCCACACTAACATTCTTACTCAGTATGCCAACTGATTTAACTTCAACGAACTGGGCAAGTAGCTTGGCAGTCTTGGAATGCCACAATCATAGCTGGCTTCTAGAACCTCCCCCACGCTAACTTCCACCCACCTAACTACAAATCAGCTAGCACTTTCAAAAACACCTTATTAATCACATTGACTCTCTGCTTTCTTACCCTTCTGCTAGTAAACCAAACTGTTTTGGAAGAAACATTATCATTCTGGCACAAACATGTATTTAAATATCGACTGCAAGAAAGAAGCCATAATTTTTACCATATGGCCAACAATTCCCATTTACCACTGCACTTTTCTCATCAGATTATACAGTATTTGATAAATTTATTTCATTCCAGATCACTTAGTTTGGCTTCCTTTATAACTAGATTTATTTTTTAGTTTTTATTCATTTTTTAAAAATTTTATTTATGTGTGTGTGTGTGTGTGTGTGTGTGTCCAGCTCAGCCCACCAGGGGGCAGGGCTGGCTGGCATGTGGTGCTGGGGGATTGAACCGTGGTCCCGGTGCTTTGCTAAGCTTGTTCTAAGTAGGTGCTTTAGACCACTGAGCCATCTCACCA